ATTTCATCTATACCCAGACACTCCATGTCTGTCATATATTCTTAGATTGACCTCTCAAATCACCCCAATGTAAGCATATATGGCATACAGTCTGGGATTCTGGTATATATCTTTTTCAGTGACCATGATGTTTTGATCATCTCAGTCAGCTCCCGATGTGAGAGGTCATGCATGTTTCACCCGACTCAACCTGGGCATCCCAGCTCCAGCTGGGCATCGAAATAAAGCCCTGCCAGGTACAATTTCCTCCAGAGCTGGTCGTGTGTCTTGCCTCGGAGACGGGTTGAGGATGGCGCAGTTGTGGGCCCTGAACGCAGGGGCGAGGGGCAACTCTCCTTGCGTGAGGAGGAGTTGAAGACTTTGTTTCAAGGCACCAGCAAGACAAAATCAGAGACCAGTCAGTCCCTACAAGTTGTGTTTGATTGAAAGCCATCTTGGAGCCTCTCCATATAAACCATGTAAACACCCACCACTCAAAGCCTTTCTTTGCTGAGGCCCATGCGATCTCAACAGCGACGAGGCTGGCAGGCAGGCCCTCCGACCTTGGACAGATTTGTCCCCGCTGATGGTGTCCAAAGGTCCCTGGCACCACTGGTTTTTGGTGCGATTCGGACTGGTTCGGTGCGTCGATCCCCGGCAACATCCGGCAAGTCTCTTTGCGGTTCCGCCTTTTTTGCCGTGTTGCCGGAACGCGACGGGTGCTTGGGATGTGCGTTGGTCGACAGCGTCGGGCTTGGGGAAAAGGTCTCTCGCGACCCTCCAGATGAAGGACCCCCGAGTTCCATCACGGGTATCATTTTTGTCCTCCAAGGAGGGGTTCCAGAATCTACCCTTCCAAGAATCTACCCGTTTCTGGAAAACCCGAGTTCAACCACCGCAGGTTCTGCAGAATAAGGTTCGATTCCACCTACAGGAATTGTCTGGCCGGAAACAGCATCCTTACCCTACAAGTCCAAAAAACCCAGTACCACATGTTTCTGTCTTTTTACCGTATTGGTTTGTTATGACCAACTCCAGTATTTCATGAGGTCAAACTGACTTGTAGGGCTAGTAATTTTGGTAAGAAACATTAAGAAACCATGAGAACTTACTACATCTTATTACTACATACTACTACACTAGCCTAGAACTTATAAAAACATACTAAAAACCTCTAAGTTTAACCCTGTTTAGCTGGAAAAGAACCATAAAGAACATTCAGACGTCAAGTCGCAAGAACTACCTTCGTTCGATTCACCGGGTCTTCGCGGTTCCGCCGTGTCTGCCGCAGACACGACCTGTTTGGGACTGCCAGTCCGGACTGCCTTCAAAACGGCCAGACCCCTCTGGCACCACCACCCCTGGCCTGATCGGTAAATATGGCAGTCCCATATATGGAGTGCTAAGTCTGGGTACTGTGGATGTTTTTGGTTTGGGGGGGAGAAGAAATTACCGTTTTCGCCGTGGATCGAGGTGGAGAAAAATGGCGTTCTTTTCAAACCGGCTTCTTCGGAACATCCAATGGCTTAGGAGTCGGTGTGTCTTTTCGGTGTTGGGAGGCATGGGATCATGGTTGATCAGGCCCGGCAGATGCAGATGTTGGAAAAGCAGGGCATCGTGATGTTGCACCGTCAAGCGCTGGAGATTGAGGCAGAGAAGACGGGAGACGGGAGGGAGACCGGGGGCCCTGGGGACCTGGACTGCTGGTCCACTGGTTCTGGCTCTTCCACAAGCAGGCGCTGTAGGGTTCGTTTTTGAATGTGTGTGTCTCTCTCTCTCTCTCTCTGTTGAGGGCCACTATAGTTTCAGGTTGGCTTTTGCCAAGCCAGGCCAGTTGCTCACTTTTGGGGAGGTATAGGATATGAGGTGTATGCAAATGTATGCAACCTTATGTTTGACAATGTTTGACACAAAATTACCAAACGTGATTGGGGAAACTGAGGCAAACCCTGAAGTGCACTGGGAGTGTAAAAAAACCACCAATGGCCTCAAACCAATCAGGATGTAGATGACAGGTATTCCCATGGCTCCAGCTGCAAGAGATTTCATATATGAGGAGTTTAGCAGTTTAGCCACAATGAATGGTTGTTCAGTTATTCCTGTATCTTCCCAGGCAGCTCTTCCCTTCATCTCGCCAGGCTGAGGTGGTCTCGGCTGCTCCGTGGGGAGACCCAACATTACATCTATATATTTGATGCGTGGTACAACCAGATGTCCCACAAGTGCGGAGTTTGAGGTCGGTTTGATTCAAAGCTCACAGTGCCTGATGTCATGTTGTTTTGATTCATGATCCACTCCACTTCCAATGTTTGGCACTCCAAGCTCCTGTGTGTGCATTAAAAATCATACACTTCTTGATCCACTCTTAATCCAACTTGTTACCATCCCAAGCATCGAAAGATGGCTTTCGGGGTCCCTGGTGGTTTTTCCCTCCAGTACGGACGAACGCTCGGACCTAAGGGCCCCCTTCGTAGCGAGGTTCGAGGTTCTTCACGTGAAAACGTGGAGCAGAGACGACACGCAACTGGAATCAATTGTTTTTTTCATGTCCAAACATTTGTGGAGAACTTATTTCAATGGGCATGTTTGTTTTTTTACATTGGACAAACGAGGCGTTCAAACCATGCTCAAAGGACGAAAAAGAGGAGAAAGGGACGCTGGCGAAACCATCCTCATCCAACTGAGGCGAAAGAAGAGCAAATGGTTGGAGGCCCTTGGAATCCAGCTTACCCGTGTGAGATCAGAATGGCAGAAAACGAGCCCACCTTCGAAATCGCGAGTCGCTCGAAATCCCTAAGCGATGGTCTGTCCAGGGATGCTCTAGTCTTGCACCCGGTCATATGGTGGAGCCGATTGAGCCGGGTTTGGGAGGGGGGGGGATAGACCTTCATGGATTGGGTTTGTATTTATTGACCCATGAGAGTCGGTCGACAAGAGCATCACATAGATTCACATAGTATCACTATTGTATGAGAAAGGCAGTGACTAGCCTGCAACCAGGCCCCACCATCATCCACTGGGCCCTGGTAATAGGATATACCATGATATGCCCAAGTCATGGACATGACTTGGGGGTTGATTGCCTAACAAGCGAGCCATGCTCTCCAGCTCGACTTGTAGGTGATGCTGCCTATTTGATGGGTGCTCTATTGAAGAGTCTTTGGGACTTGAGTCAAGGATTTGTTAGTTGGAGGGCGGTAGACCTCCAAGGATTTTTAGAGGGGGGGTAGACTCTGGGTAGACGTTTTTGAAACATCTTGGGAACCTGAAAAAAGCGTTCAATTGCCTCTCAAGAAAACCTAGAATTTTCCAGTCTCACCAGGTCTAAACCGCCTGTACAAGAGGTGAACCTCCTCATTCCATGACCACCTGGTATCCATCAAAATCAGATGCATCACAGAAATGGACCAGCAATGAAGAACCAGGCTGACAGGTTAGACATGTTAGTACTCCGTTTTTGAGCCTCGACCTACCCGGGAATTCCCTGTTTTCTACCCAGGACACCCAACTCCACCCAGCTCCTAACACCAAAAAAAAGCGCCCAACTGTGATCCATCAGTCTCCTGATTCCGTGACTGTCAGGTTTGGGAGAAAGTGCCAGGAACTTAGCTTATCCGGTTCCGCGTCGGGCGCTGTAAAGAAACGGATTCGATGAGGCCCCTTTTTTGGGGGGGGAACGGCTGGGTGAGGTTTGGACCGCCAGAATATATATTATATTGTATCTATATATATTTATATTATATACTATATGGATTACTTTTGAATACGTTGATTTGGATCATTTAGTATGTAAGATCTACCTGGTATTGCGGATCAGGTGCTTGGACGAACCATTACCGTTTCTTAAATAAAAAACAAGTCTGAGACTATCGGCAGCAAAACATTCACGGATTATGGCCAAAGATCATCAGCCTTTGCATGACTCTACTGGTGCTTTTGTGGGTTCAGTCTTTTCGTTGACCCCTTCTTCTGTTGGACCCAACAGCACATCCCACTCTCGGTTCAGTTGACCCCAAATGACCGTCAAAAATGAAGGTGGAATCCAAGTGTGTGCCTGTCTTCGAACATCTGAAGGTATAAAGGGCCTCTTCCACTGAACAAAGTGGTGTAGAGGTACAAAGGTGTCTTCGAAGATGAAAGTGGAGTGGATGTCCCACACTTTGACACTGCCAGTGTTCTTCGAACATGAAGCCGTCGTCCGCCACGAACACACTCTCGGAAAGCAGCGGTGCCTAGCGGTGGCCGCGTTTGAGCAGCGCTTGAGCAGACGACATTAAGGCCACCAGTGGAGAAGGATCGTCTCCATGAAGTGGTCGTGCGCATGGATTTGCAGCTGATGATTCCTGGATTGAAAGGAGCACTGTAGCTCATGTCTTTTAGATGAATCGTGAAGGCATGTCTTTTCAATACTGTTTCTGAAGAGAATCCTATGTTACAAAAGGTAGTTGCAAAAACTCCATGTATATAAAACATTATAAAACCACCACCCTATCATTCTTGGAATTGAAGATGGATTCAAGACTGGCGGTCCGATTTGTAGGCTTGTTGATTGACCTACACGACGTTATTGGTTAGTAACTAGTAAGAAGGATAATCCTTAAATGCATACTAGCAGGATAATCTTAACATCCCATAATCATCACCGTTCTAGTAGAGTTATTGATTAGCCTTCACCCGCTATGGTTGTGTACAATCTGAGCCGCCTTGCAGTTCTCCACAGAAAGGATCATGTGAGCAGAACCACTATTCTTGATGTCAACTCTCAGCCGGAGGATCCAGTCCTATCTGCTTGTTCCTTGGGAGTCGGGGGGGTCGTTTTGGGGATTTCTGTCTCGCAGCGCATCCGTTTCCACCAAGGAATGCCCAGCCCGGCGACCCCAGGCAAGAACAGCTGTTGGGGGGGGAGCGAGAAGATGTGGGAGGCATGCGAGGCATGTGGCGGAGAGTCAAAATGACAAACGGCTGAACAAAATAGTAAACTTCCAGCTTCCTCTCAAAGAAACGGAAAAAGAAACGATGGATTTCAACATCAAGGGGCTGATTCTGGGGCGTTAATGTCTCGTGGTGTGAGGCTTCCTTGTTCGATGTTCGAAAGTTCGTTCTTTGCCGGTTGATGTCATGGGCCTGCCTGCTGGCCTTCCTCCAGCTCATTGTTGCTTCGTCGGACGCCCAGAGATACCGATGGTGCAGCCAGCAACAAGATCATCGGATATGTTCAGAACTTGCATTCATGTTCACCGCTGTGGATTCATTGGTTGATTGATGGATTGGTTGATTGATTGATTGATTGATTGGTTGATTGACATCAATAGGTGGACATTTGTGGCATAGGTATCAAAAAAAATAAAAAGCGCATTTAAAAAAAAAAAACAGGATCAAACAAATAATAAAAAGCGAATCAAAAAAATATATTCCTGCGGGTCCTCTGGTAATGTGGTCCCTTGGTCCTTTGGTCCCTTGGTCCTCTGGTCCACTGGTCCTTTGGTCCCCTGGTCCCTTGGTCCTTTAGTCCACTGGTCCCCTAGTCCTCCGGTCTCCTGGTCCTCTGGTCCTGTGGTCCGCTGGTCCCCTGGTATCCTAGTCCTTCTGTCTCCTGGTCCGCTGGTCTTTTGCTCTCCTACGCCGCTCGTTTGTCGATCTCCTGGTCCCCTGCTTGTGCAAATAGAGGCTTGATTGCTTTCTACTAGAGGCAGCTCCCTGGGAAGAAAGTAGGTACTACTGCTACTGATACCACTACTACTACTACTACTACTACTACTCCTCCTGCTGCTGCTGCTGCTGCCGCTGCCGCTGCCGCTGCCGCTGCCGCTGCCGCTGCGGCTGCCGCTGCCGCTGCCGCTGCCGCTGCTGCTGCCGCTGCTGCTGCCGCGGCTGCGGCTGCTGCTGCTGCTGCTGCTGCTGCTGCCGCCGCGGCTGCTGCTGCTGCTGCTGCGGCGGCTGCTGCTGCTGCTGCGGCGGCGGCTGCTGCTGCTGCTGCTGCTCCTGCTCCTGCTCCTGCTCCTGCTCCTGCTCCTGCTACTGCTACTGCTACTGCTACTGCTACTGCTACGCTGGTGCTGCTGCTACGGCTGCTGCTACTGCTACTGCGACTGCTACTACTACTACCCCAACCATCCTCAGTGGGCTAGAATATTTTTTTTGATTACCTTTTTATTTTTTCATTGATCCCCGTTGAATATTTTTTTTGATTCTATTTTTGTTTTTATTTTGATCCCTTACCCCGTGTCAGCAAAGGAGAGGTCCAGTGAAATCCACTTGAAGACAGCATGTTGGAGGTGAACATAAAAATCATTGTTAATTTGTGCACGTTTGTGCTCCCATGTAGTCGCCATCGAAAGCACCTTGAAAGGCTCACTTTTCGCAGAGTTTTGGCTCGCAGTGTGTGAACATCGGCCCTGGACCATGGGGTCCAACATTTCTTGCTGCTGTGACTCACGCGCACCTGGTGATGAAATTAAGTTGCAACATGTGCAAACAGTCTCTGCTCTCACCAATGGCAATGGTTTCTTCATTCTACGTGGATTGACCGATGATAACGGACAGCCTGGAGCCTACCTTACCTTTGATTTTCAGGACCAAGCAGTGCTCAAAGAAATAGGGACGGAGCCGCTTCCGTTGGAAGTCATTACACAAGAAATGGATTTGCCTCCTATAAGGCAGACCGTGAACAAAAAGAAGGTGCTGGGAAGAGAAACATTCGAGAAGAGGTTCTTGCCAGTGCATTTTAGAAAAGACATGGCAGGAAGTTGGAGAGATGGCACAAAAAAGCTGCAAATCTGGGCAAACAAGGCAGCAACGTTAGAGGAAGATGGTGTAGTGCGCTATATGAACGAAGTTGTCAAAGTGCACAGGTCCAGAGCCCCCCATGAAGGTGAGACTGCTTCCTGGTGAGACGTACTTTGAGTGCCACTTGCCACCTTTCCTGCGCTTCGAAATTCGTGACCAAGAGAACCAGCATCGATGGTTTGATGTTGGAGACGGCACGTGGAAAGCAAAACGACTTCCAGCATATCTCACAGCACCACTCATTGACTTTGTAGGGAAAATTCTTCAATGAAAGGGGTGTGAGTGTATTGCATCCTTTCCAGGGAAGTATTCCTATGGTTGGGGTGAGTGTGTGAATGCCAAGAGCGACCAGACTGCTCAGATGAGTGTTGCTTGCGTATTTTTTCCCAGGTGACGACGGTGGTGGCAGGTGTGCCCAAGAGTGTCAGTGTCATCGCCTCTATGGTGACGGAGACGGAGATTTCCGAAAGTTTGGCTATGAGAACCCACAAGAGTATGAGGCGAGAGGACGGAAGCCCCGATGGGGCTGTGAATGGTTTGAACAATGGAAGAAAAATATTGAAGAAGCCGTCAAGAGAGGCCAAACACTCATTGTGTACTACTTTGCTGGTCAAGCAGGGATGGGTGAAATGAAGTGGCGAAATAGCATGGGTAAAATGGAAGAAACATTCCCCTTCCCCCATTCCCACCAGAAATTGTGGGATGGAGTGGGTTTGGGGGTATCACAGAAAGCGGAAGTAGCCTACTTGAAGAGCAAGGGCTACTCATTTGAAAAGAGAGATGTGATGGATTTTCTTGATCACCATGTACAGGATGTTGTCAGGGTCTCAAGTGTGGCATTTGACATGTTCAATGCGAATCACAAGAACCCAGTCCAATTATAGGCCATGCAATTGCATCCACCTGCCACTGACTGATGCAAAGGAGCACACACACACACACACATTTTTCAATATGTCTTGAAGCCCTGCTCGTCAAGAATCAATGTTGTGTTACTTTTGTTAATTTATGGTGGTGTGAATTTCAATGCGCATTATGTCATACTTTATAGCATATGCGATGAGGATTCAAGTGACAAGATAAAATTCCGTCATCCAGCCTGTTGTTGGCTTAGCTCGTCCTGTTTCAATTGAGCAGTCAGCTGGTGGGTAAGTGTTTAAGCCGCTATGGCATGGGTGTCGTTGCCCAGACCATTGTTTGTCTAAGAGTGAAAAAGGAAGAGATTGCCGCTGCTCCCCTTGCTTCACAACTTCTGCAGCCGACGATTGGACATGGTTCCTTTATGTTCCTTTATATAAGTGATTTGATCGGAGTGAGGTTTTCACAGACATATTGCTGGCATTGTCACCACTCGCACCGCTGGTGTCTTCCAAGGTCAAAAGCCACCATTGACATCAGGGAGGCTCTTGGTGGAAACCGAGACCAGCCAATCCCAGGGACAAAATCTTCAAGGTTTGACATTCTGGCACATACATTCATCATGGAGACGGGCCAGTGTTGTACATGGTTTGGCCAATCCTGCACTATCACCACGATTCTTTGGGATATTGGTGCCGCAATGTAGGGTCAGCAGCGGGCCACCAATGGCCATGTCAAGACGCCAATGGCCATGCGCATGCGAGCAAAACCACTGTTGCGTTGTTGTCATGTTCAAAGGTGACACATGCGGACATCATCGTGGCAGGCAGTTTTTAGTCCGGGCCATTACGGAGGGCAACCCCTTGACCATTTCGTGACTTGGCTGGCATTTTGCGAGTCAAAGCGGCTTCAGGTGTGCAAAAGGAGGGCAGTGTCAATTCATTCTTGGAGGATCGCAATATCCCATTGATGCCGGCCTAGACCAAACCCATGAAGTTGTGCACACGTTGTGAGCTCCGAGCGACATGGAGGTCTTGGGATTTGCCGAGCCAAGAGAAATATGATCCGGTTGATTGGTCGGATCTTATTTCTGGACATGTGTTGCCAAAACATGACCGGCGTACTGTTGCTAAGCAGCTTAGACGGGAGAAGGAGTGACCCGTCTACACAGAATCGAAGAGCGAGAACTTCTTTTGCGTCGGCACTTTCCTGGACCATACCCAAGACCTAAAAGCTTCTTCAGCTGTTCAACCTATCTTACAAACAAGAAGCTATTAGAAACAAGTGCATCGCTACTAGTAACAAGTGCCTTAGTAGTAGTAACAAGAAGCTATTAGAAACAAGTGCATCGCTACTAGTAACAAGTGCCTTACTGGTAGTAACAAGAAGCTATTAGAAACAAGTGCATCGCTACTAGTAACAAGTGCCTTACTAGTAGTAACAAGAAGCTATGTACTATCTTAAATTTGGGCAAGATCTTGGGCGTCGGGGATATGTTGGTGATGAGAGACGTGTGCACAGCCCGCCCAGGTGACGTTACAGCCCTTAAGGTTGTTGTTGTTGAGAAAGCTAGGGATTATATTCTACTGTATTTGAAGAGCTACCCCGCAATTTGTAGATTCTACGTAAAACGAGCACAATGTATATTTGAAGCGGTAAGGGCTAAGTCGAGCGCAATTTGACTTGCCAAATGAGCACGCCTTTCTTGATCCCTCTCTGTCTCTTTTTCAGTGCATCAGTGCTGTAGCCCTATATCATCGCTTTTTTTTGATGCCGCCGTTGATGTGCAGGGCTGGGAACAGGAGCAAAGGAGTCACTTATAGTACCACAATTACTATGCTTCCTTTGTCAAACCGTACTTTTGGGAATTCATAGAAAACACATCGTACCCAACATGTTTATGTAAATTAAAGGTCTAGGCTTCGGTTTCTGTGCAGAAGATTCTAAAACCACGGCCGAAGTGTCAGCCCGCCCGCACGCACGCACGGGTCAGCACTGGCTACAGTTTTCCCGAAGAGGCTGCTTTTTGATGGATGTGTTCCGAATGTTCGCCACCTCTGGTGGGTTTTGTGACGTCTATGCAATCACGGCATTGCCTTGAACATGTCGCAATAGCTGGCAGAGAAGTTCTCACCCTCTCGATGTTATTCGTTTTACCTCGCAATCCTCGTATACTTATGCTCGTCTCATGAGTTTTGGCATTGGAACCAACCACCTCACGATCACGATTTTCTACTTGTCACCATGTCCGTCCCGCACGATTCGCTGTTTTTTTTCACAGCGCCCACCCAGGACGGTCTACCCCCGGTTCTTGAGCGAGACGCGCCCGGAACGGGTGGCCGTGAAGGCGCCGAAGGCTTTGAGCAAACAAGAGGCCCAGAGTGGAGACGAGTGGAGACGGGAAGCGGAGACAGATGCAGATGGATGGGGTGGGGTGGCAGATGCGAGTTGTGTTGGGGTGGCAGAGGTGAGCTGAGGTGGATGGAGTCTTGTGAAGGATGTGGGCAGAGGTGGACGCATGACAGGGGCGGAGGATGGGAGGATGGGAGGATGTGACATGTTTTTGAGCTTGGAGCTTCGACCCTAAGGCTTAGGGAATGTCCAGGGGTGATTGGATGTCCAGCAACTGCAGTATATTCATCTCATGGAATTTGGTGCAGAGACTCACTTCTTCCAGAACACCATTTAACATGCGACCCCTGTGGCTTTGCTTCTTGGAAAAAGAGACCCCCAAACTCCCAAAATCTCCCAACACTTCGAAGCTTTTGGGAACTCGTAAAGGTTCCTCCCGTGTTTGGAGGAAAAAGGAGTCACTTCGAGTCTCCCACCCTGCAGACCATCAGCCAACGAGGCCAACGAGGCCTGGACGGACCTGGAAAAGGCCTTGTTCTTGCCGGACATCTTCGGTGTGCTGGGCTCAGGCACGGGGCCCCGATTCGAAGAGGAGCCAGCCGTTCGGCGGTGGTTTTTGACGTTCCTTTCTAGGTGTTGTGTGTGTGTTGTGTGTGAATTAGATGTGGAAGGAGTCACTTGGGATGAACTGACCTGTGCAAATTCGGGAGGAGCTTTGAGTTTGGAGCTTTGAGTGTTGGCATGTGATTGTGTCAAGCTGTGCGTATTGTTTTGAAGTTGGATGACGTTGGGACTTCTTTAGAGACAAACGCGGGCAGACCTTGAAGCAAAATGGGCCTCCATAAGCAAACTTCATGTCATTGCCTTTGAGTCACATGTGGTGAGCTTTTCTCTCGTGAGTCTCGCGTCTCATCCCGTGCGATAGGTGGTGATGAATCGCGGCTGTTGCCTTTGAAGCAGCTCCTCATCAGGCGAAAGACAGAGTGAAACAGAGTGAGAAGGAGTGCACACCGCTTCATGACAGGAGAGAAAATCCAGATTATGATTTGGAGCCGACGCCTCCTCTTTTGTTTGCAATGACTGAAAAGAAGAACACAATGTAGTGTAGAGTGTAGTGTAGAAAGTGGCAGACTTCATGGGAAGTGGACTTTAGCTACCTCAGCTACCTCAGCTTAACCGACGTGTTTTCATGTGTTGTTTTCTTGTGATTCTGCCGGCTGGACCCTCAGGGGACTGCAGCCAGATTTCAGCAGGAGACTCAGACGCTTCGTCTCGGAACCTGAACGAGATTGTGTCCTTGTGACCCAGCCCGTGTTGGAAGTGGTGTGAAAGGAGTGCCGACATTCTCCTGGAGCCTTTGTGTGAGCTCCATTTTGGAACCACCCAGGAGGTCATGTGTTTTTCCTATCCAAACAGAGGAGAGGTCATGTCTGGGCTGCATACTTCCGAACGATTTGCTCAACACGGCAACTTATGGCCTATTAGCCTATGGGTTTGAAATGGATAACAGCCCCCCTGGCGCCCATGAACATGTGAGCGAAGCAGGCATATTCTTAGTGGACTCTCATTTGCATCCAAGCTTTGACTGTTTAAAACCGATGTTGTGGGATCCAGTTTTGCAGAATGAATCATTGTTGCTGAAGCTGGAAAAGGAGAACACGATCAGTTGCAAACACCTTTATCACATTTTTACTGTGGGCCGTGGATTAGGTGGATGTTTGGCATGTTGAGTTGGACACCAAATCAGAATACATTGCAAACCCAATACCTAAGAGTTCTTCACATGATCCTGTCACCAGCGTGACACGGTCACCCGCTTCACCCACATCGCGCATCTTATTGCGTCACGTCGCGTCGCGCGAAACCTGAGGCTTTCGTGGAAGGCCCTTGTTGCATCGCGCCTGCGAGTGGGAGCCCCAAAAGTATCGCTATTTACGGTATATGTTAAGAGGGAGACACCCAACCAATAGGGAGACACCCAACCAATGGGTAGACTGATCTATTTTCCTTCGACAAGGGGTCCTTTGATAGGTCCCTACTTTTTTTGATACACTCCCATGTGTTGCCAGGTCTCTCGCCAGCAGACATGGACACAGGTCCTTTTCAGGGTCTCGTCTTGGAAGTCCAAGAAGGAACTTCTACTGGACCCACCTGTAGGTGATGGCCCCACAGCATGAAGATCACCCAGACACGACCCATGTTTGTCATTGAATGCCGATGAGTGGACCTCTCTGGCACCTACTCCGATCTAGCTAAATATGGCAGTCCCATAGGTCGTGTTTGGGTCATAGCAATCAAGAAAGATCCGAGTCAACCTTCACTGCTGGGATCTCACCTGGACCCACCAGTGACAGAAGAGGTGGCTCAAGGACGAAAATGGGGCACATCTACAGCCTTCCAGTTCACCATCTTCACCGCTTCGCCACCCTTGTTCCGTGTTCCTGTTCACCTCCCAGGTCTCGTCGCTTCTTCGAGTCGCTTCTTCACTTCGCCGGCGAACGCGCCTCGCCCAGGTCCGGGGACCTCGCCTTAGCCGAGCTCCTCTTCGCCTGCGGCGCTGATCTGTCCGAGCGCCAGTTCCGAGCGCGAGCGCGTGTGGTGGTGTGGAGCCTGTCCAGCTGGTTTTGGCTTTTGAGGATGGAAAGACTTATAGACTTATATTCACTAAGAACATGTCTTTTTCTGGTTTGCTTGGTTCATGCGGGGCGCATTTGGGGAGTTGGCATCATACAGTCTAATATCTACATGAAGGGTTAAAGATGTTCGCAGCACTTAGTGGCTGCTTTGGGCACGGGCACAGTGTGTTGGGCTGTATAGCGGGTGCATCCTCTAGTGACATTTTCTTGGCTGTCTAGACTCTCCCATTCAAAGGTCTTCACTATGGCCCCGCTTTTTTCTCCCATGACCAGGGCTTCATGGATGATGATGTTGCAAGCCTTTTATAACAGGAAGCTTCTGACCACTTTTGCTGACCGTTACTGGTGCTGGGACGCACCGTAGGCCCCTCAAAACATCTGAGCTGGTTTGGGCAGATGCTCGATGGGCCAAGCTGCAGAAGCTGCATCAGCTGCACACCAGCACCCAGCCGCCACATCGGCTGGTGTTGCCTTAGAGTGGTTTGGAATTTGCCCAAACTGGGTCAAGCCCCTTCGCTGCGATCCAAGTGAAACTTCTGAAATCGTCTTTTTTTGCTCTTCCAGGTGGTCGGCCGACTGGGAGGGTCTGTCTTCGTCGAAGAGCCTTCTTTCTCATGCGACCGAGGCATGCTCGAGGTGGAGACGAAGAGAGCCTACCCATCGAGGTGCTCGGTGGTCGGTGGTCGGGGTTGAGACAGGTCATTCACAAAACCCGTAAAGAAGCGAAGCTCAAGGCCGACACCTTCACGAAGTGACATGGGCCATTCGTGTTTCTTCTCATCATTTCTCCACATGACAGTCTTTGGCATGCAAGCGGCAGCTTTCCTGAGCTGCGGAAGTAGGGATCCTAAATAGCTATGAATTTCATCTCTTAAATGGAGCCTTTTCGATCCGAAATGACGTGGTTTTGCGTTTGGAACCTCACCCGGCACCCAGCTGTTGCGGGAGTCAGAGAGAGTCCGTTTAGGACCTATGTCGCTCATGCGCATGTTATAGCTGTTCAGGAAGCCTTCCGGAGCCGTTTGCCGTTTCAGCGACCATGGGAGTCTACAGTAGAGAACTGACCTCCGTCCCAGTTTCTCACCAGCAGGTGGCTGCCTGGTGTGGGCAGATGCAGCTTCTTCGTTTGCTACTCATGAATGGCTGGGATGCTCAGCATGGTGGGACAGGCCCCCAATTCATGGAACAGGTACACTTCTACCGAAAAGGTTCGGTTAGGAGTCGTATATGGAGTCGTTCAATGCCACTGGCAGATGTGTCATCTTGCAAAAACTATCCCAGACACTCCATGTATGGCATTCAAAATAACCCTATAAACTGGCTTCTGAAACCACCCCAATGTACTGGTAGGCTGATAACATGGGCAGTCTGGCTGTTTGGTATCGACGTTCGCTACCCTCCGTTCGCTACCCGGCTGGGTGCTGATCCACTGGCTGGTGCGATGAACTGGACGTGTCGACTGTGACACGTCGAGTTGTGACATGACACGTGAACATGATCCGATGGTAGAGGAAAGGAGCGACCTGCGAAGAGAGCTTTGCGGTGAGTGACCCCAGCAAAGTCGCATACGTTCAATTCATCAAGATTATAATCTCGTTCTTGGGAGTTGAGTCCTTCAAAAACATGAAGCTATCAGGCTGGAGTTGGTTCATGTGAGCAACGATCTTGTATATGTGATTGTTGAGTTGCTTTTTCCCCGCCCATTGAGCAACTAGAATCAACTAGACCATTTTAGCTCAGTGTTGTTGTTTAGAAGTGACTAGTGTTGACTCAGGTTTGACCCATGTAGACGATAGCAGGCGATATCATCAGATCGTTACAGACATGAAAACCACAAGACTCAGAGACCCCCAGGCACATGAGCAACAAGCAAAGAGCATCTCTGGGGGTCTCTGGTGGGGGTCTTTGCTTGTTGCCCATGTGCCTGGGAGTCTCTGAGCCTTGTGCTGTACGTTCTTTCCCCTGTGACTGCGTCGTCAGAAGACGCCGATGCCTCGATGGCTCGCTCGACGCCGAGGCTCGTGCTTTGGACAAGCGTTGCACATGGCGACTCTAGCTGGACACTTGGAGGCCCAGAAGACCACACCGAAGACATAGAAACAAAAAACAACAAAACAACTGGGCAGGGAGCGTTGGGCTGCATGCATCTCTTTTGAATGAAGCATATATCTAATTAATCTATCAAGAGCATGGCACCATGTCTCTTTTTTCTTTTTCGTGTGATTGGAACTGGTGCCGCAAGGCAGTGCAGCTGCTTTTGAATTACGGCTGCCCTCCCCATGTGCGAATTGCTGGAGTCTCGCCGCTGGATTTGGCGATCGCGGCTTGCCAGGCACCAACCCAGTCCGTGCACAGTGCGCGGAATTCTACTGGTAGAAGCACAGGTGGTGCAGGTCGCGGTTCATCAACCGTGCCTCATACATGGGCTGTGGGTCAAAACCAGGCTACCTGGGTTGACCGAAAATGAACGGAGACCACCGGAGAGGTCGACCTACCAGGGTGCACAGGGCGGGTGCGCACAGCCAGAGCTGTCAACGCCTTTGGGGAGAGCCGAGCCTAGGGCTGGCAACCGGGTACATGGGGGGTGGTCAATGCGACTTTGAGATGGTTTGAGTGCGTTTTTGTCGGTCCGAATGCATCCATCAAGACCACCCCTGTCGCAGGACCACATCAAGCTAAGCAACTTGCCTGGATTTCGATCAAAACCCTACTACTTTCATCAACAATCTGACTTCCTGTCATTACAAATCCCTGTGGTCAAAGTCGGCCAGCCACATGAGGGTAGTCAGGCGTGCATCAAGACGTTGTGTTCGATGGGTGGTCGCGTCGATGGATTCCTGAAAAAACAATGCTGTGTCCGTCCACTTTGCAAAGAAGGATCGCATGGTGTGTTGCTGCAAGAATCCTTACATATCTCTTACAGAGGCCCCACACTTCTGCTAGTGCTCACTTGGAAACTTGGACAGAAGCTAAAGAAGCGTACTGTACGTTGCTTCGCATGGGCGCGCGCGCGCGCGCATGTGCGCCCAGCGGTACGAAAGCATCACGGCGACAGGCTCCCATTGTGAATTTGCTCCTGCAGCAACCGATGCTTTTGGACACTGGTGGAGCAGAAGAAAGGCTGCATTCGCAGGCGGGTCACGTCCAGTTGTGGCCAACACCCAGAAGTTGCATCTGTTACTGGGATGGGATATACATGGATATACCGATATACCCTGAGATATATACATATATACCTAAGGTCTATACAACAATAAATTCTACCCCAAGTGCTCAAATTGGGAGGTCCCCCTTTAACTTGAGACATCTGTCCAGAACAGTCGCACCCTTCATCCCTTCCTTGGTCTCGACCACGTAGACGTCAACAGCCTGGAGCTTCACCGGTCGGGCGGGCACCGCAGCGTCCAGGGCATCGGCCGCTTCGGCCTCGCGCCGCGCAGTCGGCGCTTGCACCTCTGCTGCAAGCTGGGCGGCCCACGAGGTGCCGAACGATGATGTCCAAGGGCGACAAGGGCCATGGGGACAAGGTGACAAGGGGCTCAATCCCTGAGAATGGGCAAAAAGGGCAAAGGGGAGAAGCGATGGCCCCCCTTCCGAAAATTTCAGGTGTTTTCCAGGTCTTTTCCAATGTCTACCAGCGCGTGGCTACCCGGGGGTTACACGTGGACTCCCGTCCTACGAAATCCCTTGTGACATTCTCAGAAGCCGGGCAGGGATCGGGTTTTCACCGAGAACCGCAAACCAGGTATGGCCAACCGGGAACCCGCCGGCTGAACCGGGTCAACCGCCGGCTCAACCGGCCAACTGGGAAACCGCCGGTTGAGCCGGCCAACCGGGAACCCGCCGGCTGAACCGGGTCAACTGGGTCAGTTGAGGCGGCCAAGGTTGAGCCGGCCAGCCAGAACCAAAACCCGGCCAACCGAGAAACCGTAGTAGTAGGTGCCCCTGTTGGGCCGGCCGACGAGGAGTAGGAGGAGTAGTGGTGGTAGTAGTAACAGTAGTAACAGTAGTAAGAGTAGTAGCAGTAACAGTAGTCGTAGTGGTGGTGGCGGTGGTTGTTGTTTGTTGTTTGTTGTTGTTGTTGGTTGTTGGTTAAGCCCCTTGTGAGACAAGGATGCCAAGGATCATCCTTACCCGGCCGCGTCCGTGACTCACGTACATGTGGCGGCTGCTGCTTGGCCTGGCGCTGACGGCGCTGGCGCTTGAGCCGCTGCTGACTGAGCTGCATTTTGGACCTGCCTGGTGGTTCTGCTGTCCTAGCAACATTGCTGCATCATCGAATCTGACAGCTTGCACCTTGATCCTTGTTCACTCCCCCGAGTACTCACAACCGCGGTCCCAATCCCGCGGACCAGGTGGTCCTGAGGACCCTTGCATCTTTTTGCATCTCGATCCTGGTAGGGGTGAGGGTTGGGTGAGGGCCATGACTCACCTGAGAGCAGAGGGCATTGATCAAAAAATTGTAGATCATAGTGACTCTGCGAAAATGCATGGCTTCGGGCCGGCTAGCTGGGGGGGCCTTTAAAGGCTTACACCCCCGTTTGAAGCGCAGTTTTCGTCGTGCCAAAACTAGAGCTGTTCGCAATGGGTACTGTTGGTATCGTGGAAAACTTCTTGACCGCACGCAACTAAGAGTTTCTCCTGTGCCGGAGCCGCCTGTGACCCCTGTCCGAACCAGACCACCACGACCGTCTCAGCCTGATCTCAGGACACGCATTCATGCTTTTGCTTGGAACAGCACTGGCCTGGCATCTTGGAAGTTGGACGAGCTCAGATATTGGCTGGCTGACCAACCATTTCAGGTGGTGCTCCTCACTGAGACACGCTGGCAATATGATCGTGAATGGATTGAAAATGGCTGGATTCACATTGCATGCAGTGGTGATCCCTATCGATCATGTGGGATGCTCTTCATGATTCGTACTACGTTGTGCCAACAGAGTCAAATCAGTTGGAAGCCTGTCATCCCGGGTCGCCTGGTTCATGTTCGCCTTTATCTTGATAGGCCTCTGGACTTGATAGGATGCTATCAACATGTCTTCGTGAATAAATACTCAAGTAAGCAGAATAGACTTCTCTGGGTTCGTTCACTTGACAATCTTCTTCATGACCTTCCCAAGCGGAACAACTTGATTTTGGTTGGAGATTGGAACTGTGGCCTTCCCAAATCACCGCCGCATATTGGCACCTCTGACTTTTTGAGTTTGCTTGGCCGTCAATCGGTCTCGCTTCATGAGGATTGGAATAAGCATCTTGACCTTGCTCGAACGCATGACCTGTGTGCCATCAACACATGGCGCCATGACACAGGACCCACATGCCAAACGGCCAAGGGTGACTCCTCACGCATAGATTACATCTTTGTTCGCATGAGGCAGGCTGATCGTGAAGCACTTGAATGTATGCCACTGGAATCCTTTGATCTCCTAGGTCCGACTAAGATTGGGCATCGACCATTGATCGGCTCGATTCGTCTTGCATGGCGTCCCTCCTCTGGAGTGGCGCTCAACCGAGTGACCTATCAAAGCCGTGTGATGTGCCGCGCTGCACAACAGGACCCTGATCGATGGAACACCTTCTTGACGACTAGTACTTCCATCCTGACTGAGGCCAGATGGTTTGACATTCATGATGTTCAGCATGCACAAGATCGTCTCACAAACAATTTCCAACAGATGTTTCAAAAGCAACAACTGGTCACTGCACCATGGCCATTGTCCAAAGGGTTGATGGCCACCAAATGGGACCTCCTTGCTCGCCTCCGAACTCTATCTTGCCCAAGTCTTTCTAGTTGTTTTCAAGGTTGGCATCTCGTTACTGCACACCATAAGTGTCACCTTCAACAACAACAACAACAACAACAACAACAACAAGTGTCTCGACAGGCACGGAAGGATCGTTTCGATCACATGATTGCTGAGGCACGCCTTGCAGCATCACGCCATGATCTTTTTGCCCTGCATGCCATGGTTCGTAAACTTTCCCCCAAGGAAATCCTTCCCCGAATCAACATCAGAGGAAAACAAGGTGAGTTGTTAAGTCCTATTGAGGCCTTTGCACATTTGAAACATTTCGTTCAAACTGCGTGGGAAGGACCCATGCTTCGATCACCGACTGGACCGGCTCCAGGTGTTCCGTTCACTGAAGCTGACTTGACCCGGGCGTTTGCACGGTTGAATATCATGAAGAGCACGGCGCCAGGCACATGTCCCAATGTGTGCATCAAAGTCCTCTCCCATGAAACCGCTGCCCAGTTGTATCCCTTATTGGTTCACTGGTGGTCTTCTAGTCCTCCCGTCATTCCTCAACAATGGAAAGATGGATTTTGTTTCTTGTTGCCCAAGCCTGGTAAGACCCCTGACAATGCGGCCAACCTGCGCCCACTTGCGCTTCAAGACCCACTGGGGACCACGATCCTTGGCCTCCTGACCAACATTGCTAGAACTAGTGTGCTTGATAAACTTTGTGCCCAACATCAGTATGCTTATCTTCCTGACCGGGGTACCCATGAGGCCATTAGCAGGGCGGCTGCACTGTCAGCATGTCCGTGCCAATCTGACACGGATGCGTAGACCTCAGCCTCCGGTCCCTTCTATCCAGAGCACTGGTCTGTATGGTGGGCTGACGGTTAGCATTGACCTGAAAAGAGCTTTTGACAGCCTTCCCAGACCAGAACTCTTTGAGGACCTTCGAAGGTTAGGTGTTGACGAGCATTGTGTAACCCTCCTTCAGGAGTGGCACGTTGGTACTAGATATTGGCTTGAGCACAAAGGACATCAGGATAATATCAATGTTGCCTTAGGTGTCAGACAGGGATGCCGTGCAGCACCTTTCTTGTGGGCAAGCAGTATGTCTAGGCTTATGACTCGCCTTGCAGCATGTACCAGTCCTGAGTGGGTTCTCAAGGTCCTGACCCTATATGCGGATGATTTTCTTCTGCAGTGCGAAATTACTTGCGAACAAGATTTGTGGGATCATTTACATTTTCTTGGCATGCTTTTTGACATTTTGGATGATGCTGGACTTTCAGTGAACCTCACCAAGACTGTGGCCTTATTTCAAAGTGCTGGCAAGAAGTTCAAGAAACTTCAATCCCGCGTCCTTGTTGAGCAAGCACATAAATGGTTCTTGCCTGTGCCCCGCTCCAATGGGACTGCCTCAAAAATCAAGTTGGTGGCGGACCTCAAATATTTGGGATGCAGGCTGAGCTATGGGAACTTTGAAAAAACTCACATTGGAGCATCGGGTTGCTGCTGGACTCCAGGCAAATAGACGCCTGCATCGACGGCTCTATGGTAAAAAAGGCCTCGACAAACAACAACGAAGGCAACTTTGGGAAAGTGTGGTCCGCACTACAATGCGTATGGTCTTTGGGCAACAGGTGTCACAACTGCTGGGCTCAAGAAGCTGGTGAGTTTGTTGATTACCATGCAACGGATGATCTACATGAACCATTCACATCGAACACGTGATTCGCATGCACAATTTTTTCAGCAGAACAACATTGAACATCCACTTCGTTTTCTGCACCGCTGCTGTTTGCGTATTCTGGCTGGTCATTCCGCCAAGCTTGGGCTACGACCTCAGACCGATGTCCTTCATACGCTCAAGCTCCAGGGCACTCAGTCCATGCTTGAACAAATTGAGCACCTGATTGCTGGAGGCCCTGATCAGACGGTGGCTCCTGCGGCCTTCGAGTGCCGGACTTGTGGAGTCATGTTTTCTAGCATTCAAGCCCTTCTCGTTCATGAAGATCGATTGCATGGCATGAAACATCCCAGAATCCAGGTATTTTCTGCTGTACGTGACGCGGACGAAGGGACCTCGATTTGCAGGCATTGTAATCACTCGTTTCCCACTTGGAACGCACTTCGAACTCACATTGAACATGCATCTTGTTCCCAATTTGATCCTTTGCAGGTCATGTCAACATCCTTGGCCAATGCGTGGTCTTCGTTGCTGCCGCAAATCCTTGAGATTGACCCTGCTGGTCTCAGCCTGAATCCCTGCATTGGGGACTACCTCAGGAGTCATTGCATTCTATGTGGAACTCAGTGTTTGCGGTTTCAGGACATGACGCATCATTTGGCATTGGAGCACTCCTCATTGGCCTCACAAGCTACTGGATTGTACCAACACTGGCATGGCTCTATGCTTTCACCATGTACTTTTTGCCATGTGGACTTCGCTCACACGCACCACTGCAAGGTACTCTTCCAGCTGATGGTCCTCCGGACGGAAAGCATGCTCAATGAAGGTGCCTCCACCTGTTCCAGGACAGCATCATCACTAGCTGGCACAGGGTCATCCCACAAGCGTAGCTCAATCGATGATCCTGCAGGGACTACAGCCCCAGATGTATGTATGAACACTTATCCTGTGGATGAGGGAACCGGGCAGAACATTGAGGTTGTTGAGAAGGAGATGTCCTACTCCCCAACTGCCATGGAACAGGAAGCTCCGGCCTCCTTGCATGAACAG